CCTCCTATCCATCAGAATTACTATCCTGGTAAAATATGTGTGGTAACACGGTGCATAACTTTGTGAATTTCTACTGTATAACATTTCTGAGACATGTTCCAAGTTTAGAAAAGTAGGTGCAAACCAGTCTTCAAAGACGAAAGGCAAACTGATGCCTCAGCCAGATGTCAACAAAATTAAATGGAATGTCCCCCTGCCAATGGCAGGCCCCATGGGACTGGAGAAGCCCACCACTGGTTAATCATAACCAATAAGCATCACCCAGTAAGGGTAATGCTTACAGGTTAACCCGTTAACAACCCTATTACTATACCCATCAAAGTTGAACCTTGCTTGTCCAGCACCCTCGGGACATGAGCAGTCCTGAACAAGGAATTTTGCCAGACCAGGGGAGGTCAATTCCTACCCCTCTGCTGATGAATTCTGCCCCTTCCTCCCTCACTCCTGGTCCACCAGTCAACCCCCACCCCTTCAGCCAGGCTCCCAACCGCCAGCCTCTGGGGCTCTCTGGTCCAGCAACATCTGCAGTCCTGCCAGACCACAGATGTTGCTGGACCAGAAACATTCAATCTGTAATAGTAACTTGTTGTGGAAATTAGTTTAAGGAATTTGGTGAAGGAATACCTGCCAAAGACCAATTAGAGTAAAAGGCGTCATGTTGGATTAGGCAAAGGAAATAGTGAGTTAAGTAACTTTTGTGGTGGGGTAGTTGTATCCTTGCCATGATAGGTAAAGGAACTTTATGGGCCCGCAAGAAACTTGGCCATACCCATGAGAAGTGAACATGCAACTAACTAAAATCATGCCAGATCACATACGTTGCCGGACCTGAAAGTGTCAGACTAGAAAGGTGCAACCTGTAACAATCTCAGGATGATAAACGTGCAATAGCACTTTTTCTGGCCAACACAGATCAATAAACTTTTGACAGTCTTTTTCCTTCCCTTCACCATCCATGTCATTCACATTATATTAGTTGCTAATATAACCACATTTTCTGACAAAGTAAAAACACCTTAACCTTTACATTTCAGATGCTAACATTACTCACATATACATGCACACCTACATGGACTTCTTCCTACAAGCATATGCTTCATACACTGTGAAAGGTTTCATTTACTTTAATAGTGCTACTGACATTGCATAAAATTGAAAGCACATAAATCGTTACAGGGTCGGGGGCACTGGCACCAATCTTACAGCGAGACTCACACACTTCCTTTCTACATTCATGCATAGCTCCACTGACTTCAGTGAGACACTGTAAGGCCACAAAAATCTGACTTTCTTGCGGGATCAGGATCTAATCTAGGGAGACACATACAGCTGGTCCCCGAGTTACGAACGCATCGATTTATGACCGTTCGTATTTACGACCAGCCTCCTATACAGCCGGAACCCGAGTTACGAACAAAATTCGCACTTATAAACAGCGCGGCTGTACATCAGTGAATGTAATCCGACTTACGAACAAATCGAGTTACGACCAAGTGCTTGGAACGTAACTCATTAGTAAATCGAGGACCGGCTGTATGAGCAATCCTATAGCTAAAGTCAATACCACAGAAAAGGGACAATGGAGTTATACACTCTATTATGGCAACCAAAAAGGAAGAATTAACTTAATTTGAATTGCATCTCCTGGAGTCCAGTGAAATGCCTCATGTTACAAATTATGGACATCTTTCATAAAGCAGAGTACTTGCCTGGTAGATAGTAGGTACCTACTTTACAGGCAAAAAAATACTTGAGACAGCGTGATGTTTCAGTATAACAGTCATTTCCATGAGATTTCCTTCTTAACCTTAACAAGCAAGTTATAATTTCCTGTAATATCAAAAGTAAGCAAACGCTTAACATTTAAACAAGTTACAGTGCTAAACCCTTCCAAAAATGACAAGCACATGGTAAGGTAACAGGGAAACACACTCTTAATTAAAAAAAAACACACACACACCTTATTTCAAGCTCTTGAGCATAAAATGGTTCAGAATAAAAAAAAACACAGAAAAATAAGGAGTTGAAGGGACACTTATTCCACAGAAGGCTGAATTGTTCTTTGCTATACTAGTTTTTATTATACACTACGTCTAGATGCTCTATCGACAGAAAGATGAAGATTAGGCACAACGAAATTGCTAATGAAGCAGGAATTTAAATATCCCGTGCTTCATTAGCATAAACAGGGGCACCACTTTTTTTCGAAATGGAGTTTTTTCGGAAAAAACGGCAGTCTAGACGCGGATCCGTCGAAAATAAACCCATTTTCGACAGATCCTGTAAACCGCATTTTTTGAGGAATACAGGATCTGTCGAAAAAGGATTTATTTGACAGATCCTCGTCTAGACTGCTGGGTTGTTTTTTTTAAAACTCCATTTAGAAAAAAAGCGGCAATCATGTTTGCGCTAAATGAAGTGCAGGATATTTAAATCCTTGCTTCAGTAGTTATTTCAATGTGCCTAATCCACATCTCTCTGTTGACAGAGAGATGCAGTCTAGACGTAGCCATAGAGTCTTCATTTCTTTCTTAATTGAAAGAATCTCACAATTCTTGTGTGATCAGCTACAAGATGTTGACACCATAGTTACTGCTGCTAGTGTGCTTTCCGTGTGTATACTTAGTACAGTCACCAGCTTCAAATATTTGGATGCTAACTTTTTGATAAACAGAAGAAAACATTTAATTTATCAGAGGGGTAGATATGTTAGTTTGTGTCCACAGAAACAAGGACTCCTGTGGCACCTTAAAGACTAAGGCCTCAATCCTACATATACTTTCAAGGAGTACATTTACTCATACAAATAATATTGTGCATAATGAGGCTACTCACGTGAATAATGTTATGCCATGTAGGATGGCGCTCTGACTGAAAATCCTGCCAGTTAAAATACTTTATAAATTACTCTAATCTAAAAAGATGTAATCCATCAGCTCCAAAACTGCTTTTCTTCAACCATTCCCTTCCCTAAATCTATCTTCTCCCTGTGAAAAACAGATGACCTTTTCAACATCTCCTGAAGAACAACAAACTGGGGCTTTGCTAGACCATGGGAATGAATTAAAACAATTTAATGTCTATTTCTCTTTCAAATGAAGTTAGATGTTACAGTTACTGAATATAACTGTTTTAAGATTTTTATGCAGGTTCTTACTAAAAGCGTAATGTGTCAGACATCAGAACAAATTTAAATTAGTAGTCCTTCTTTAAGCAACATACTACTACTGTGAAATAACGTTTCAGACACAAAATACTGCACACTGGGATACTTCAAACATATTAAATAAATATGCTAGTCTGGGCACAAAACTATGAACAATGGACGCAATGATGTGGGTGCAGTTCATTATTTCCAGTCCAATAAGTTATGAATGGTCAAAAGGATAAAAGTACTTCGCATCTGCCTTCTGCTTCAGTCTAGCTTTGAAAATAAACACTGTAATATTAAACAAAAGGATGTTTCCCTATTGAATTTAATTAAATAAGTGTGTATATCAAAGCAAATAACCTCTAAATCTAAGCTGACACATTTAAAGTATTTGGAAACCATGTTTACTAAATACACTGTAATAAACAAAATGGAAAAGTTCACCATATTTGAGGAAACTTTATATGATTTACACCAAGACTTGAGACCATCAACTTAAAAAACAAACATGCCCCTGATCTAGTGTGAAATTATTTTACCTATTATACCTAAGATCATTATAATGAAAAAAATAGAAATTGCTTCTGTACTATTTCATTTTGTGTATCTGACAGCATCCTGTTTCATCATTTTCACTGTTTCCCATGCTACAGTCAATGTAACCTGTTTGTGTGTGTCTTTCACACTCTACTAGAGAGAAAAAAATTGGTTTGAAAATGTGACTGCCAATTTAGGTGGGTTTACCAGTACAGCAGGGGGAAGGAACAAAGGACAAATATAGTCACTTTGTGATTACATTTCAGGTTAGCTAATTCCAAATGAAAAGCAAACCAAGGAATTCAGTGTCATCTTTACAAAGTTTGTCACTTTTCATAACTTCCTGGGACAAATATTTCTGCCTAGCATTCTACACACTTTAACTAGTGGGTGATTTTACAACTACAGAGCTCAGAAAGACTGTTGACAGGGAGCGATTCAATTAGCCTCATTTTACACAGAGGTCACCTGCCAATTCCCAAGGCTGAAATTCTGCACCAGCTCATTCCAGCGACCCCCGTCTACCCTCATCCATTTATACTACACAGACTGGCGCCTGCCACTTATCATCACTTCCGTTTTCACGCAGTTCAATTTGTCCCCCAAATGGTTTTTAAAAGCCAAATGCTTCACGAGCGCTAAAAAGCTTTGTTTGGCCTGTTGACATCGTTTGATGGGGAATTAGGGCACTAGATCTTTGTGGTTTACCCTCCCGATCATGTTATCGCCCAGCTGCAGAAAATTCGCTCCCTATCCTCTGGAGAGACCAGCTGCCCCGCATTAAACTGCCACATAATACGTGACAAGTGTGTCAGCTCGCAAGGTCAAAGCCTGCATCAAATGGTACAGCACTCAGGGAGACGGAAGGCGACTGGATTGCTGGCCATGGCCTGCCTGGGAAGGAGCGCTGCCCACTGGCTGGGTTCCCGGGTTGTAGAGTGGAAACTTTCCGCCAGCGGGGCTGTTGCAGGGAGTTATTGTGCCAGCCACCTAGGAGCCCCCAACCCCACCAGTCTCCTCCTGTCCCCTCCCCTCCCAAACGCAATGCTGGCTTGGGAACCGGTCCCTGCCCGCATGGCGACTAAGAGAGCAGCGAGTCAGCCGGCGTCCCGAGCTAGACTTGGCCCAACTAGTGCATGGGGCCAGGCGGGGGAGCGGCTCTCTCCGCAATCGTTGCCTTCCCCACGGAGCCGAGCCCCCCGGGCGGTGGGGTCACGCTGGGCAGCAGGGAAGTTCACAAGGCGCCAGAGGGCGGGCGCCGGGCGCGGTGCAGAGTCTGGGGCGGGAGCTCCGCCTTTGGGTCCCCTCTTACCTTTTGATCCACTATGGAGCAAGCCATTTCCCGGACGTGCGCCAGG